CCTTTTCACAAGTATTCCTGTGGATTTGTATCAGTTGTAGAATGTTGCATGTGATTTTTTTACCAATACACACAGATTAATGATAAATACAATACACGTTTATTTTTGAAAGCAAAAATCACAGTTTAGATATTTTTCTCCTAATTTTTTTGCTTTTTGATCCAGTAGACGGCGGCAATTTTCGTTAAATCTCACTATAACTTTTTTCGCTCATGTTGTGCAAAACTAAATATCCTAAAAAATGCGATGATGTTATTATTTTACTACCATCGTTTTCAGGCCAGAGACGAAAATCTTGGACAAAATTTCAAAAACTAGAAAAATTCAAAACGAGAAAAGTTCAAAAACTAACGAGGGAACGTTTTTAAGTACCTCCTCGCGTTTCAACGAAATCTAGTGGATTATACGTTATCGATGATGCTGATTCCGAATATGAATATGAGAGCTGCTCTTATGGCTTCGAAGAGCCGGTTTTCTGGAAAACCAGTTTTCCAGAAACTCCGAAAAACAACCAAAGCTTTTCTTAATGTGCCATGCTTCTAGCTCGCACATTTCTGATTAAAATGAGACCTCTCCCAATCCTACATGACCTTTCTTTGCAAAGTTACGGAATTTACAAGAAAAGCCTAAATCCTATTCATTGTCAACTCAAAGCTGCAGAAATAAAAAGAAATTAATTTAAGGCTTTTCTTGTAAATTCTGTAACTTTGCAAAGAAAGGTCATGTAGGATTGGGAGAGGTCTCATTTTAATCAGAAATGTGCGTGCTAGAAGCATGGCTCATTAAGAAAAGCTTTGGTTGCTTTCCAGAGTGTCTGAAGACTGGTTTTCGAGAAAACCGGCTCTTCGAAGTCATAAGAGCAGCTCTCATATTCATATTCGGAATCAGCATCGTCGATAATGTATAATTCCCTAGGTTTCGTTGGAAAAGCGAGGGGGCACTTAAAAACGTTCCCTCGTAAGCTTTTTCGCTTTAAAGAATAAGTGGCAGAATGTAAGATTTCGTGCCCAAAGAATTACACAATGAGTCATACATATTCGGAATCAGCGTCGAATTCTGAGTAAAACTGTATTTTCAGAGCGTGCAAATTCGCGAAAAGGGGTTTTTCGAAAAATTTTAGGGCAAAGATCCCCCTCAGGAACATCGAAAAACATTTTTTTCTCTAAACTGGCAAAATGACACTTTTTCTGACTCAGAATTGAATACTGATCACGAAAATCGCATTCACAGTTCATCAAAATGCTTCCCTGTGAAACGGCAACCGTAACAGAAAATGCGTCAAAAACCGATTTTTTAGAGTTCTAGAAATTCTGAAACAAGTTTCTGCTTACAAAAACATGTCTTAAGGTCATGGCTGTTCAACAGTGAAAACCGCAGGTCGCCATCTCATCTGTGTGAAAAATTCTTAGCAAAACACTCACGATCACTGTGTTTTAGCGCCGATAGTAGTCCCAGGACTGACACTCGGTGACTACTGGTAACCTTGAAAACAGATTCATTGTGTAATTCTTTGAGCACGAAACCTTACATTCTGCCACTTGTCCTTTCAGTGACTGAATATACGAAATACAGCATTTATTCAGTTTTTACGTTAGTGCATGAAGCACGTAACGGTTCCGTTCAGTATTTATTCTGTCTCAAAAACACATCACTATACGCAGTTTTTTACGCTGATTAACAATATCGGCTTTAGAAATCACGAAAATTAACTTTTTAATCTAAAGAAGTTAAATTTTCAATTTCTGAATTTACTTCATAGCCATGTCATTCGATAGTTAATTAAATTCTCTACAAATTGGACTATTTCTTTATTTGACAATTCGATAGCGGGAACAGCATTTTGTAGGGTAAAGAAGATTTTGCTCACCAGGTGATCTTTGACAGAATCTATTTTTAAATTTTTTTTCGGTTCATAGAGATTGATTCTATTTGACACTATAGAAATCTTTCAAAAACAGACAGACTCTAACACTTTGGTAACAAACAAAAAATGTTAAAAAGATGCGTGTCATAGCGCAACTTAAAACAAACTTTTCTGCTGGAAAACTTATTATCTCACTAAAAAATGGTCAGAAGCGGTCCGCAGTCAAGAGAGGATTCACCGCATCACCTTCGTAATGATTCTAGTTGCTAAAAGATACGTTTAAGAAAAATGAAACTAAAACGAAATTTGAAGAGATCAAAGAGAAAACCTTAGAAAGAGAGAGAGAGAGAGAGGCAACAAGCTATTAATAACTATATAAAAACTTTCTAAGTTCAAAGTCAATTTGCTTCCACTTTTTAAACCCTGTGGCGCCGATTCCAACATGAATTTTGGAAAAAGAGTGCTTAATGGTCAATTTTCGGTACTCATAGAACGATTTCGTGTTTTCAGAGCTTTTCTACGTTGTGTAGTTTTCGAGATCACACAGTTCACACTTTGCAAACAACAAAAAACAAAAACAAATTCTCAGCAAAAAGTCATAGTGTCTGTCGACATAAATAATTTTAAAAATATAATAACTAGACTTGCCCATATCCACGGATCGTTATTAATATTTTTCTTCGTTTGCGAAATATATATCCATCGGTAAAACAAAGCATTCGGAGCGAGTCAAGTTAAAGACACTATTAATGATTGTCTTTTTAAAAAGTTATATCCTTTAATCTGAATTGCTTGATCTATTAAATTTTGATGAGGCTTATCTCTACTAATTATCTTAAGTGCATTATTCTACTGGAAAAAAACTTATTTGTCTATACACAGCCTATAGTCTATACACGTTTTCTTCATAATTTTATATTAACGAGGCACAGTGTGCATTTTTTGCATAGCAGGCGGTCATGTAACTTTCGTGCTCAAAAACGGGTTTCTTTTGCTCAAAAGTGACTGTATATCACTTCAAAAACTACCTTTAAGAAAAAACAGCATTTTTTGAAAAAAAATGTTTTTCGAGAAAATGTTTTTGTTAGAAAATATATTGTGTCATACATCATCCGATGCAGTTTCACACGCTGATTCCGAATATGCCACTAGTTTTCAATGGAAATGATTTGGTGTCTGAAAAAGAGGAATCGAGCGTGAAAATCAAGGATTTTAGGACGTTTTTGGAAAACCTACCATTCGATCCAGAAGCGTCGGCGCTAATTGGCGCTAACTGTGTTGACATGTCATATATAAGACAGCATTCCCTGAAAATTTCATCAAAACTGGAGTTCGCGCACGCATTGCATCAAACACACCTCCTGGAAAAATGCGCTAGAAAAATGTTTTATTTTTTTTCTCCAACCTAGAAAGCCCAAAAATAGAAAAGTTTTTTACCAATCGATAGCGTACTTGATGCTGATTCCAAATATATATGTTTGTTTGCCTAATAGCTACATTTGATTTTTTAAAATTTTTGCGTATAATCCGATTTTCCGATGGACACGGGTTTTTTAGTGTGTTTTTGTGTATAGGATTTTCCCAGCTTAAATAAGTTCTTGGACATAAAAATTTTTGTCATTAAATAGAGCATGTTTCAAAGTATATTAATCATCTTAAAATTACTTAAAAATCAACTTTCATTTTTTCATCAAAAGCCGGCCTGGATGGAAACTGTGCGAGGGAACCGCCTCAACTGTCAAATCGCTTTCGAGCCGAAACTTAGTGGATTATAGGTAGTCGACCATGCTGAGTCCGAATATCAACATGAGAGGGCCCTTCTCTACATTAAAAAATTCACTGTTCGCTCACTAAACATCAGGACGAGTTCAGACCTTCAGAATGTGGAGTATTTAAGCTATTCTATATCCTGTTTATAGAAGATCTGATAATAAATTTTAAAAAATCCTAAGGTTTTCCAACAGGGTTTCTGGAAAACCTATTCACAAAAATATGCTTTTCGATTTCTTCGATCTTATAATCACGTTCAGCGAACAACATTAATCATATCCTAAGATTTTGAACTCGTCCTGATGTTTAGTGAGCAAATAGTGAATTTTTTAATATTAGGTGAAAACAGCCTGAAAACCCTAATTTTCGTAAAACTGGCTTTTCGGTAGATTTTCAAAACTTTTTCTAAAAACAAATATTGCCACGAGACTCGACATGGTCGATTATCCATAGTCCATCCGTCTTTAAGGCTACCAAGAGCCACCGGGTGCCAGTCCTGTGACTCGTCGGAAATCCGATACAACGCCCGAACCGCAGAAAATCAAGGTCTCACTTTACTCCCATTTTGAAGAGAACACCCCGGACTATCAGCACATGAAAAAAGTCAATAGATTCCTGTTTGAATTTCGGAAAGTGCTAGCGAGTTTTCCAAAGATCTTCTGATAAACCGGCTTCGAAAACTTTATCGAAAATCAGTTTTGCTTATGAAAAGGTAGCCTAAAGTCTTGACTCTCAAATGGTGAAAATCGCAAGTCTCTATCTTTATCTAATGCTGAGTTATTCAAAAAGCAACCGATGCTGTTGTATTTTGGAACGGATAGTAGTGTATATCTCCATCAAAATCGATCGAAATGAACTGAACATTTCATTATGTACTTTAATTTCAGACGCCCTTTTACGATGAGAGTAAAAAAAGTTCATTTCCACACGCCCTATGTGACATCTTGAAAATCGAGACACACTGAAGTCTAGTACGTATGGTAAAAATTACAGCTTAAACAGGATGAATATGGTGCGTAACGACAAATCTGGTTGTACAGAAAACTATATCTAAAGGCGGATTCTTTCAAAAAATACGCTCATTTCATCTTTTGGAAAAGATACTCTAGTACAATAAATTTCAGTCCCTTTCGACACACTTGCTACGATTCTGTAATAAGACAAAAAATGAAGAAGTTACGCTTAACAGAAATCAACATAAAGAAAAAAACAAAACAAAGTAAAAAATTTAAAATTCCTGTTTATATATATTGACCTACTAGAAAGATGCAGCAAAATAGAAAACCGGAAATTTAGCACAAAAATTGCAACCGAACGATTGATTACTATATTTTTCATTTTAATGTTTTTTTGAGTAATTAGGTTACTAGTTGAGTGAATTGGTCGTATTCTGAGTAAACCACTCGGGTACTTGAAACGTGCCTATCAAATCCCAGATAATCGCTTTCCATTCATTAATAGTATGTGTTTCATCTTGATGTGGATCGTTGAGTTGAGGTGCCGTTGGCTCATCAGTTGGATCGTACATCGATGCCAAATATGGATGAGCTAGCGCTTCTTCAACCGATGGTCGACGTGCTGGATTCAATTGAAGTAATAATTCAAGAAGATTGATGCCACCATGAGATAAACCAAGTGGTCTAAATAAATTTTGAAAATTTAATCGCGGTAAATCACCAATTTGATCTCGAATATAAGCATATGCATATGGTTCACATAGTTCAGCTAATTCCTCATTACTGGGCGTACCAAGTACTTCTACAATCAGAAAAAAACGATCATATTGAATTTTTCAAACAATAAATGATATTATCACCCAAAATTTTTCTCAATTGTTCAATAAAATTCCCTCCTGTAAATAGAGGACGTAACAACACTAATTCAGCCATAATACAGCCCACTGAGAATAAATCTGCTTTTGATGAATAATTTTCCCAATTATAAATAGTCTCTGGTGCACGCCACCATCTTGTTTGAACATATCCAGTAAGAATACGATCAGCGGGCATCACAACTCGTGCTAAACCAAAATCTAATATAGACAAATTAAAATCTCGATCAACACCGATGTTGGATGGTTTTAAATCACGATGAATAATACCAGCAGAATGAATATACTTCAAACCTAAAAAATAAGAATAGTTAATTTTCACTTAGTAAATTAAGTTGAATAAAACGGATGCTAATATAGAGTATAAAAATTCGTAAAGGATTGAAAATGCATGTTATTAAAATTTTTGTATTGCCTACCTCTTAATAATGAATAAATGAGTACTTGAATATCTCGTTCCTGAAAGCGTTGTCTATGTTTCTGGTAATTATGTAATACTTTTGCAAGATCACCTCTGGCGTAATTTAAAACAAAATAAAGTGTATTAAATTCTCGTCTTTGATCAGGTGTAAAAACATTGAATATTTGTACAACTGATGCATCCTTATTGTTTAAATGCATGAGTAATTTCAATTCACGATACGCACGTTTAGCATGTATGTCAGTTTCAAATGGTTTTAACAATTTTTTAATGGCCACTTCACGATTCGTCACTCGATCTAGAGCGCAAGCGACAGCTCCATATCCACCAGCAGCGACAAAACGTAAGTTTTCATAACGCCGAGGAATAACGAATGTCACAGTTGCTAATTGAACTTGATAATACTCATCCATTTATCTACAACAAAATGAATATTGCTAAAGTATTGAGAAGATCATGACAGATTGAAATATAGCTAAATTCTGAATTAATATGCAAAGCTATCTGAAGTTCTGGAAAGTAACAATTAAATCAAAAATTAGAAATAAACGTTTAATCAATAGATAAAGACGATCATCTTGTGGATATTTATACGGTTCATGCCCAAACTCCGCACACCTTCATCCATTCACCCACCCACCGCCTTTGAAGATTCTTTGATCTCCATTTGAAATTAATTAAAAGTATGCGAAGTTCGAGAAGTAACGGTTTATACGCTAGTAATGAGATATGTTGTAGATCAAGTAAAATCATCTTCACGTTTTAGTCACATTTTCGTCTTTTCTCTAATGTATGGATTTTATTCACTGGTATTGTTTTACTCATAAAAATGAGGTGACTGTGTCAATTATGAACTCTATTTTATCTAAATCATTTTAAAATTTCACAGTTTTGTCATATGCCATGTTTATATTACAACTAGTCAATATTGATCAATGATGTTACATGATTATAACGTTGATTTGTCAATAGTTAATTGAAAATTTGAAATCATAAATCAATAAAATTTTGATGATTTTTATTCATATCGACAACAGGTATCCACAATGTTTTTCTAACATCTAACTGAAACGCGTTCAAATCATTTTTTCTCTAAAAAACTTAAATCACATCTACTCACACATTGATTAACACGTAATCTAGTAGGGATTAGTATATAGTCCAGAGCTGGGCAAGTCAAGTTATTTTTAACTTGATCTGACTTGACCTGAGAAATTTTTGATGACTCATGACTTGACTTGACCTGACTTGAAAATTTTTTTAAAAGATTTGACTTGACTTGTGACTTGGTATAAAAAATCAAGTCAAGTCATGCATATTTTTAAACCTCTTATGCAATCTAGTTTTAAATAATAATTCAACATGATTTGGGAATATCGATGTTATAATATGTAACAATTTACGCATAGTAACAAGACGCACATTTTGCAATAGCATATAGCAAGCCTGTGTTCTAATACGAAGGAATGGAGACTCTTTTATGCCGTTTTCACTGCCCGTTACATCATCAGTATTGCAAAAAAAAAATTTCAAGTCATAACTTGTGACTTGACTTGGCTTGACTGGAGAAAATTTTTTATTACTCATGATTTGACTTGACTTGTGACCTGGAAAACCCGTGACTTGCCCAGCTCTGATGTAGTCTAGTATCTGGTCGACTCTCTAAACTATTTTTGTATCGTACAAAACCAAAAAAGGGTATTTTCATGCCGAGATACCCTTTTTGAAATCTCTGACTAACAGATAAATGCAGATACCCTCTTTTTTTTGAGTTCTGTGGAATTAGAAATACTCTCAAAGAAACCTTACAAAAGCAAAAAGGGTACATTGAAATACCAAAATGGCACTGTAAAAAACGGTTAAGGGTATTTCTAATTCTACAGAATTAAAAAAAAGCGAACATCTGTATTTGTTACTCAGAGATTACAAAAAGGATACCCCGGCATGGAAATACCCATCTCTGGTTCTGTACGATACGACGAAAATTTTTTAGAGAATTGTATGTGGTCTATACATATGATGATAATGGTGAATATGAGAACTTATAAAAAATATAATTACGGTATTTTATTCTATTTAGGATAATATTCAAATAAAAAATTATTTCATAACGGGTTACTATATTTACAAGATATTATCTGAAAAAATTTAAACACACACGCATAAGAACACAAACTTCAAGCAGTATTAGTTTGCAACAAAGTTGCAGTTAGTTTAGCTTTTCAATTTCATACTAGTACACAATTTCTTAGATTGAATGATTATATTGGAACATGTTTTATTCTGTATGAAAATAAAAAAAATTTTTAAAATTTGTTCGAATGTGTAGTGTATCTAGCTATACGATGAGTATCATGTTCATGTTTTAAAGCGTTAAATTAAATGTTGATATAAGCTATTTATTGAAAGAAAGAAATTCAGGTACTTGTGTCCACCAAAAGAGAGAACGAGTCCCCATTATTATTGATGGTGACACAAGAAACATAGATCAATTCAAAAAAGATAAAACAGC